ATTATAAGTATGTTTGAGTTCATTTTTAAAAAAATCAACTAACAAGGACAGTCATAGACGGTGGCAAACAGATATTGTAGAAATTATACACAGAATAAAGTTCTATAAACTTCATAAAAATCAGTAATGATGTATTCAAAAATGTATATTGTGTTTTTTTTTTGAACAACTAAACATGTCAAGGTACATCTAAAAAAATGATGAAAGTGTAATTGAAAGTGTGGCTGTCAGTCCCTCCAACTCCCCCGAGGTGCCGACTGTCCTTCTTAAGCCCTTCATCAGGATCTGCATCCGTGCTCAACATGGGGGCGAAATAGTCGCTACGACAAAATCCCTTTTTTGTCTTTGACTTTCACACTTTCAATAAATAATTTTGATAACATAAAACATTCTCTGCCTGTGAATGAAAATCAAATCTCAAGCCTGAACAAATTTATGTTCATGACGTTAAAAAAAACTGTGAGATTTATGCTTGTGATATTACTCTAATATATTTTAATTCGTTATCCACCTACAGAAAGGCTGGTCGCATTTTATCGAACCCCTTTAGTTTTACTAATTTGATCATGTTCTTCATGACTCAGTGAACATTTTCCTTGATGATCTCCATTGCTATACAGTTAATCATAGTTCAGAGAGAATAATAATATGAGCGAGATAGTGGTAATATAAAATTTATGGCAGGGGACAGTTCAGCTAGCACAATCTAGCTGTAGGGTGCTGACAGCAGAAACGGCAGTTTCTTTTTTCACTTTTTACTAAATCAAATATGATTAAAATCTAAAAAAGTTTTCAAAAATCAGCAAAAACATCTCATTTTTTATAATGGCTGTAAAACAGCACACAGAGCCATATTTGCAGTGTGACATGAGAGATACTCATATTCATACTCCTCGTCTTTCAACATGAGTGGTGATAAACCATAATTAAGGGATCAACTTAAAACATTTTTTTTTTTATATTTTATTAGACAAAAACTTAATCCAATCAAAATCTGACATATTACAATTAGAGCTCTCTTTAACCACCTAAAAAAAGTAAATCATACCTTATTTTTTTTTTTAAGATTTGACTTTTGAATAAAAAAAACACAAAAACAAAACACTTATGACTTAACAGTGCTAAAATAGCATTATTGAAAAAACTTGTTCTGTTGACATCAGGACGAGTTATTTTATTTTATTCACATTTACCAGTATTACTAACTTTAATAATATACCAGTAAAAACCATCCCCACTTTGTGACACACCGTTAATAATAGCTCACACTAAATATTAACATTAACTTTCTTGTTCTATTTGCCCTAGATTTACTACAACTGACTGCTATGTGGAGTGGGCACTGCAGGGAAAGGAAAAAAAAATAAAAAATACCAAGAGGCGGTCGTCCTTAATAAATAACATGGAATTTGTCTCTATATATTTTCCATAAAAGTTTAAATGGCTTGCCACTTATTGTCACTAGTTAGCCTTCCTCCCTTAATGCAGTTTTATCATACAAAAGTTATACCTGTGATTGCAGTTTTAAGGAATGCTGAAAATAAACTCTTAATTGGCATAAACATTTAATCAGATTAACAGTATAATCTAGATATTTAAACATTATCTTTATATTCTACATATTAAAACACGACTATTTGTGACTTATTCTAGGTCAGATTAAGATGATCTATTAAGCATTGATCTCAGTGCGTCCTATTGGAACATAATCCATTGCACTTTTTAAAAGAGATCATATTCCCTTAGACAACCTACATTTTTTATTTATTTATTTTTTTTCTAATCTCTTTGTCATGATTTGGTCAAGTTTTTTTTTTTTGCTTCCACATTCCATATCTCCATAGAGAAGCTGACAATGACTGAATTATTAAGCACAAAATGACTTCAGATCTGTCATACTTTCCTCTTCCCTCAACCAAGTCCTCCGTCTCTTTAGTCTGTCTCCTTTCTTCTCTTTGCTCATCTCCTCCCAGGCTCGTTCTCAGTCGTTTTCTGCTTATTAGAGAGTCTCTCTGTCAACCCTGTCCCATCTAATTCTCACCCAATTACAATCTAAATGAACCACATGACTGCTTAACTTGCTTTCCCTCTTGCCATTGTTTAATTTGTGACGGTAACAAACTCTGATTAGGTCTCTGCAAAGGTTCATAAATTAAGCACTAAGGACAAAATTAATCTCCATTCCCTGGGAAGATAAATGAGGGATATTCAATTTTTCCATATGGATCCTACTGACAAAAAAAATAACAGGAAGTAAATAATATGAAAGGTCATTAGGAAGAAGTGACCTTTAATCTAGGAATGGCTCACCTGCCAGACAACCTTTATACACGATCTTTGTAACAAAGCAAGTTTCAACTGGAAATGTCTCCAGAGCTAAAACTGGGTCGTTTTGATTAATGTCATCATCAGAATGTTAGTCATGAAGATGCAGCTACAACAATGCCACGAAAAAAAGAGGATTGGGAGAGAATTTAAAATGCAAATACTAATTTCCACACTTTTCAATACATGGTTTAGAACTACACAACCTACCCTCCTATTTGATTTTTTTACTTATATCTGTTACCCGATTTTTAATAATGGGGTTATTATAATCAGGTAAGAAAAATTAATAGCTGTATTACCTAAAGAATAGGATGTTTACTGGTGTCTTAAAAAATTTTCTTTTTTTGAAGTTATTAGCTGGTCTGAAAAGTAAGTGGTCATTGTGCAACCTTATAACCTTTGCAGTATTGGTCATTTTGTTGCATAACATTTTTATTTTTTTTGTTATAAATGGTGCCGTCTACTGAGCTACATTCCTACAAGGCCTGTGTCAGTTTGTATCTGTCGAGTCCATGCCAAATTTCAACTCTTGGAGAGGAAAGTCCAAGTCAAGTTCTAAATATGTGATAGGCAAGTACATGTCAAGTCTTAAGATGGGCAGGCAGGTTCAATTTCATTTCAGGTTACATTATTTTACCCTAAATTACAGCTTCAAGTTATCGCATTAAAACAGACATTTTCCCTATTAAATTGATCCCTTTTAATTCTCTTACCCAACTGCTGTCCAAAAGGTTATGAATTCAAGAGAGTTGAATTCATGAAAACTTCAGAATTTATTATCAATGAATAGTTAGGTTAAATTAACATGTTAAAAGAAAGCTAGCATGTATAAAAACAGCCACATGTTTACCATACAATAGCTGCATATGTATATAGGTTCTTAGTCCCAGCATCAATAAAACATGGTAAGTTGAAAAGAAGATTTTTTTAAAAATCAATTATGTACAATTTTTAAAATGCCAAAAGTTAAAAAGAGGTAAAAAACTACACATTAAAAATAAATATTAACTTAATAGTTAGGAAATAAAATGAAAAGAAAAAATATACTACCCTAAAGGCAGAATAATACCTGTATACCAAAACAATTGCTAGTATATGTTTGGGCAAATAGAATCAGATTTAGAAAAAGGCAAGCATAAAACAATTCATTCATAAACTAAGGACAGCATATAATGAAGAACTTAAACCGTGAAAATTAAGTAACCTGTGAAGTAGGAAGCATTTAGCCCTGAAGATATTGTTCAGTCTCCCTCACTCACTCGTTAATCTATGCAATAGTAGCAATATATGGAACTCCAGTAAATGAAACGTGTGAACAAAGCACATAAAAGAAAGGTACTTTATCTTCATTAGTAGTTTCTAGCACAGCTTTCCTGAACACAGCTGTCTAAAGCAACATTGCTGGTAATAAAATCTGAAACCAAATGGTAGAGCCATAATAGGCAAATCTTAAGTTTCATTTACAAAAAAATAAAACTGTCCTCTGCAAAACTTAAACAACCTTTCTGACCCTTTAGTGCAACTTAAGCCCTTACAATTTGGGAACTACAGTACTATTACAAAACAGATACAAAAACAATATTCTCTTAAGGAAACCAAAGAGCAAACAGAAATGGTTTAACAGATAGAAAATATATTTCCTATTGTGCATTACTGATACTGGGAAGACCAAACTCCTGTAGAACTGTGATATAAACTTACAAGAAGAAAGCATAAAAGACGACCTTTGAAAACCCAGAGTTTGTGCAAAAATCTCTCTCTCTTTCTCTCCGTATGCTCTAACCTTTTAGATTTAGAAAAGGGGATTGTTCTATTGGCAAACATGGGCTGTGCAAAGTATGCTGCAACAGAGGAACCACACATTTTGCCACCAATGATTTAATTAACTGTGATTAATATCTATAATTAACTGTGATTAATATCTACATATCTTGATATTTAATTAACATAAAACTAGAAGGTGAGATTTTCTACATTTGTCACGGTGAGATTAGTTTGTCGTTATTTTACTTTCTCATATCTTAAGTAGCAACACCTGAACATTTGGTGAAAATAATGTTGGAGAGCTGATTGACTATTGGTCCAATACTTAAAAATAATGTTTAACAAGAATCTCTAAATCATTATACTAGGGTTCAGGGTGAGGACCAGGTGACCATTATTGGCATAAATCCTTTAAGCAATCACTAACGCAGAATATGAGGAGAAACTTTGATTTTCTATATCTGACAGGAAAATAATTAGTTATATGTCAACATCATCAAGAGGTTTTCACGAAGACTGAATGATTTAAGATGTTTTTGTTTGTGGAGTTGTTTTTTTTTGTTGAAATCTCACTGGTAGCTAGGCTTCACACATGGTTCTGTGGAACAAAGTTGCATCGGAAATTGTTTTCTGAAAAAAAAACTCTTGGGGCACTGGAGCCATAAATGCAATCCAGCAATAAGAGATTTTTCTCATCTTTTTCAAATGATATTTTAGCCGCTTTCCCCCTAAAAGCTGATCTTTATCTGAGCTATTCAGAGCTGAATTACTTAGCGATGCTTCCCTGTAATCAGAGGACCAAAGAACATACCAGACTAACAGCAGAAGAAAAAGCCTATTGCGATGGTGCACAACATGGCATATTTTGAAAAATACTGTTTTGGTTTGAACACTGTAAGTGTACTCACATTGATCGATGCTCCCGTCTGCTTTTTCCCTCTCCTGCAAACAGAGAACACACACAAAATTGGTTATTACACCGGCTCAGAGGAGCGAGGGGGAACATAGCATCCTCCTTTTTGCGGCTTTTCGCTTGCCATCCGTTACTCTGTCTTTTCCTCTTCTCTGGGAAAAAAAATCTTAACTATAGTACAAAACAAGGGCATACAGATAAATGAAGAAGGAATAACACAAAATGACGGTGGATGACAACAGAGAAAATAGAAAAACTCCGATACAAAGACAGAGTCAATTCAATCACTCTAATTGGAAATATACTTTGCAGACAAGCAGCAAGATATCAAATGTCAACATGTTCTGCTGGAGTGTTTATTTAAGATACAAACAGTTGAGCCCAACTGTATACGCAGTGTGTCATTTGTCAGTCCTATTTAAAAGGATACTGATATCATGTTTTTTATTAATGGTATGTTTCTACCATCCATGCAACATGCAAAACCCTTTCTGGATGATGAAAGTTATATGATGGAGCCGATCTGGAATTTCTGTTTGGCTATAACACCTTACTATAGGGACAAAAAACTGCTACCCATAACAGCACACTCTCTTTCTGAAAATGATACAGTGGACCCTGTCTTTCTTTGTATTATATTTTCTCTCCTTGCCATACCAACTGAAATGCTGTTGCTGCCAATAATTTCATGTTTTTCTCTATAAATAATAATCTTCGCTATGTATTTATTTGTTTAACTTTATCACTATTCTTGACAAAGTAAAGAAAGTAGCTCAAAGTGAGCCTTGTTCTGCTGGACGTTTCTTCCTGTTTAATGGAAGTTCTCCTTACCACAGACACTATATCTAAGAGGAAGGGCTGCATCCTTACCATACCATGTGATCAGCTGTCGTCTGTCACCTCCCTGTCATGCAGGAGAAGCGACTCCTGGTTTAATTACTTCATGCAATAAGCTGGTTTTCCACACACAAAAAAAAATCACTAATTAAAACAATGAACTGAACACAAAATGTTTTTAAGTGTACCTTGAAACATAAATTAATGCATCTACAATGTACTTTGAATCCACTAAAATGGATAGAATTGGATACATGTTGTATGAATACATGGGATCCCTTGTCACATAAAGTGCCTAAAAGATAATCATTGTGTGCTGACATGATATAAAATATTAATGAAATAAAAGAATATGCAATGACTAGAGATTTCTACATATTTCACTTTGTGCCATATTACAAGGTCCAGCAAACTGATACATTTTCAGAAATAAAGCACTAAAATCTGAGGCATGCAATTCAATTTAATTAAATTAAATCCAATGAAATTTAAAGAAACTTTATTGATCCCAAAGGAAAATTAAGTCATTTGGTAAGTTAAATTAAAAAACATTTTCTTCAGTTAAATACATGCATATGTACTTAATATTATCAATTGTTGTTTATGTTTTTTGTGCAGTGTTTTGAAAGGCACTTTGAATAAAATATATTGTCATCATCATCATCATCATCATTATTATTATAATAGTTATAATAACAATGTTGTTTGTTCAACCAACATCATTCACAAACACTAAAGATCTTTAAGAACACTTCTATTTATATAGAGATTGAGCTAGGTACACTCCATTTACGTATTGAGTATCTTCTAACACTACAGGCATTTCATCTTAATTAGGCGATATTATTTAAGCAAGGCAAGGCAAATTTATTTGTATAGCACAATTCAGTACAGAGACAATGCAAAGTGCTTTACATGATTAAAATATAGGAAAATAAAACAGAATCAAAGCAAGTAGGAAAAAAATATATATAATAATAATAATAAATTAGGCAATTTAATGTGCATTGCGTGCTTATAAGTGACCGATCACTTGGGCTTTTTGTAGCTTAAGGACTTGCATAAATTTATAAGCTTGAGATGTGCTTCATTTACATATGCAGAGAAAACAGGCTATTGACATGATATTTCAAAATAGAACAAAGTGGTCTTTCAGTGCAACACCACTTCTGAACAATCCAATATGTGGCAACATTTCAAGCACAGTGACATTTTACATTTTTGTCCCTCAGCATAGATGCCTCCAGTAATGAGGCTCACCGATAAAAGTGTGCGTTTCTGTAAAAACCCATCCCTCCACCCCCCTTTCAGCTTCCCAGGAGACCAATACTCATGAGGAACGCAGCAGTTGTAAGGCTCCCTGTCAAAGCTACGTCTTTACGGATACATCTCTATTCCTTTTTCCTCTCTACATATGCCATCTGTCCATCTTAATTGCAGACAGGATTCCTAATAATGGCCAAATAAAACTAGGTTAGATCCTCAGCACCACCTTCCATCATTTTGAGAGCGCTGTTTGATCAATTGATTAAAGAATGAAATCAAGCTCAGAGGTGGCGGAGAGGTTACATTCTATTTTCTAAAAATACTGTTTCTCTGTTCTTTGAAAAAACAAAAGGATTTTTTAATCATTACAATTTATATGCTTAGACATTAGGGGAAATATTGCCATGTCACATTTAATTAGCAGTAACCTGTTTTTTCCACTTTTTTCCCACCCTGTGGTATTGCTTTCTTTTCTTGGATATATTTAAATATTTTCTATCAGATGTAATCTGAGGACAAATCAACTGCGTTTCGGTGAAGACGGATCCAATATTTTCTTTTCAAATTATAGCTCCTGGTAATAGGAGCTGAGAGGTATATTTTTAAATACAACTTTTGTTTTCTCATCAACTAAAAAAAAAGTGTTAGAATCTTGACAGATACAGTGTGCATAATTGGGAGGAGAGAGGATTCAGGATATTTTAACCTTTGTTGCCGTAGGCTGTTATCTTGACTTGTGTTACCTCTTGGCTTCAGGCAATATGACAAGAAGGTATTAAAGGAGTATGTTGAATTAGGACAAAATCTTTACCAGAATGCAGTAAAGCCTGGTGTGTATGAAAGTTTTATTACAGTTTTGGTGCTTCCAAAGCTATGGAAGTTCTGAAATTGATCCTGTGTCTATAAACCCTTCCAGGACCCTTAAACAGGTCAAAGAGACATATTCTGACACTTACAACTACTGGTCTCTGAATGGTTTTTCCTGATCCTGAAGCGGTTCACTTCCAGTGCAAACTTGTGCTGAGCCAAAGTACCAAAAGCAGGAGGAGGTTTTTTCTACTTTTTTTTTTTTTTTTTTTTCCCCCAAGCATTTTATTATCAATGCACTGTCACAAGTACAGAGCAACAAAATTAACTCTCTGCATTTAACTCATCTCCTTGGTGAGCAGTGGACTGCCATCGTGTGGCTCCCAGGGAGCAGTGTGGGGTTAAGGGTCTTTGCTAAGGGACCCAGAGTGGCATACTCCCACTCTGTGGCAGTGGGCCTCTAGGACCTTAGGATTTCAAGCTCTATGCCCTAACCAGTACATGGCCACTCCCCACTCTAATTATTTTTAAAGCCCATGAGATGGACTTTCTTCTTTGTTTTTGTTTTTTGTTTTGTTTTTTTATTAGGGTGACCTATCTCCAGTGGTCTATGGGTGACAGGTTGAATACACCCTGGGTAAGTTGCTAGTCTGTCACAGGGCACCACAAAGAGACACAGAGACAATCATGCACACACACTAACTACTAAAACAATTTAGAGACAACAATGAACCTAACCGTCATGTTTTTAGACTGTCGGAGGAAGCGAGAGTACCTAGACAGAACTCACGCATGCACATGGAGTTTGCATGTTCATGGAGACAATATGCACTCAATGCAGAAAGCCCTCAGGCCATGAATCGAAACCAGGACCTTCTTGTTGCAAGGTAACAGTGCAACAAACTGTGCCACAATGCAGCCCAATAATTGCATTTTGTGTGAAATTTTGTTTGTTCTTCGACTTTATCAAATTCTAAATAGCAGTGTGATATACAGTATGCTGGCACTGCTCTAGCTGACCTGTTGCAAAAAAAAAAGGCTGTAAAAATGTAAAAAGGCTCATATCAACTTTTTCAAATCATCACATTCCTCTTCTCCAGTATCAATAGGGTGAACCATACAGTAGATGATCAAATAAGTGTAAAAAGGTGTGAGGCATTCACACAGACTGCTGTAAACATAATATCATCGATATTCCCATGCATTATGATATGAGGCTGTGACTATGCTGGAAGCATTGCATTTTAGGGAATAGCAAGATTACCTGGACCATGATGATGACTGACTTGAGGGCAGACTAAACTAACAAGAGCATTGCTCTTGTATCTATGTGTTGAACTGGTACTATTTTCGGTAAGAATGATTCACTGGACCTCTGTCATCCCAATGCTTCACTGGTGTTGAACAAAAGGAGGTCAGGGCGCCCGGGTAAGCTATTTCTAAAGGAACACTATAGCATATAGAGAATTGAAAAATCTATATTGATGAATTGTGAATATGAATAAATTACATTTTAAATGGGGGGAAATGGTTAAGTCAGATTTTTAAAGACCAAAATAATCCATGAAAGATTGAGAAACATCTTAATATAATAAAATGAGGAAGCAAAAACATGACCATTTTTGCCAACATTAAATGTCATAGATGGGCGTTCTGATTTTCAGGGGTTTTTGTTATTTTGTTTATTAGTTAAAGCTGTTAGGGTTCTAGAAATGGTTAATTCTAGCACAAATTCCCCATGGGTGTTTAACATAATCAGGATTAGATCAAGGCTCTTCCTGAAGCCACTTTTAGGAAATAAAATAATTCTGTAAGTGTATCCTTACTGTACTTTTCAGATATCACAGCCATGGATAAGTGCAATGCTGCCTGGAGTGAAATTTTTATATAATTCATCCATACAAGAGACTTTTTTGACATGAATAATACTTCCTTTATGTGAATAACAAATCTATTCCCTACCTCACTCAGCAACACATCTATTTTAGCCCTGGTCAAACTGTGCATTTTAGTTTTCTTGACCATTGATGCTTTTTCCAAATACCAGGTCTGGGGTACAGTGGCAGAGCCATAACATTTTCATTAGGATGGTCAGTCAGAGACCAACATATACTGAGGGGTGGCTGAAAACTACTGTAATAGGAACCAATACCATGATGATGATAATGGTGGTAAAGTTAAAATGTGTGCTCCTAAATAAAGGGATAATAGACTGATAAATATATTTTATCTAGGAGTCTTAGAAAAAGAGAGATAAGGAAACATGGGGCACAAAATGATTGTTAAAAATCATACAAACAATCATGAAGAGCTATCTTGTGCAGTTTTGCTATAATGCAGTTTTGTAAGACTAGGTGAGAAAGTGTTAAAACCAGATTGACTGTAACTTAATTTACTTCATTTGGCAAGCTTAATATTGTGAATAGACTAACAGAAAAATGTACTCTACACCAAATCCTGTGACATTTTACTTTTATTTATGTCATGTTCTGCCTCACAGCCACCACTTTAGCAGCTTAGGCAAAAAGTAAGTAATATATTGTATGAGCTGGGAGCACTTAAGGCCATATGTACACAATCCTAAAACAGTAATATTGCCTCTGCTTCTATATAAATGATATCAGTAAAAAAAATAAAATCTCTGTGAGTATCTTCTTCCATTAAGGAAGCCCTTTAAATTCCCCCAGCAACTATAAACAGAAGTTTCTGCAAAGACCTACATTTTGGCCAAAAGCAATGTTATAAATAAGGCCACTCAAAATAGCAAGCTTGAGGATCAGTTGATCTCACTCTTGTAAGTCCATTGCTGTGTTTCATTAAAAGTCATGTATCAACATTAACTGTACATATACTTTATTTATATTTCTGACACATTTCAACTTTTTAACTGGAAACTATTCAATTCTGTTCCGTTTATTTATATTGCACCAATTCACTAAAAACATAATCTCAAGGCTCTTCACAGAGACAATTCAACCATAGTCAGAGTGGTTCAAAATACTCTATCTAAAAAAAAAAAGAGCTGATTGCATGGACTCATTGACTCGACAGCAATCCCTCATAAGAAGCATGCTTGTAGCGACAGTAGAGAGGAATACTCCCTTTTAACAGGAAGAAACCTCCAGTAGAACCAGGCTCAGTGTGAGCGGCCATCTACCTAGGCTGACTGGTGTTCAGGAGACAGAAACAGACATACATCTACAGTACAAGTGACAGTTTTCAATATACAGTACAGTTGCACTAACTTTATAACATTAGCCTAAGAGATACATAGTTTTTTAGATACAGAGTAAGTCAAATCTTTGTTTTCAGAGGAGTAATTAATTTATTGTTTTTTTTGTGTTTAAAGTGTGATGAGGCTCATTAAACAGCAGACAAGCCTTAGATTATTTTATAATTGAACTTTTATTCAGCTCACAATGGAGAATCTCTCCTCTATATTTAACCCATCCCCTTGGGGAGCAGTGGGCTGCCAATGTGTGGACCCCAGGGAGCTCCGAGACGTAATGCTCTAGCGCAATGCTCCACTAGGCCACCAATACCCTATTTTACATCTATTGGTTATTTTATTAGGTTTGGTTGTATGATATACCCAAACTATTTTTTCACCTGGGAACAATGAATGTTTATAACAATGTTAATGTTTCCTTGTGGGAACCAAACCTTTAATCATGGAAAGGATCAGTTTAGTCAAAAATAAATAAATAGAATAAAATAAAAATAAAAAATCACTTATACCTTATATCACAGGGCTATCCCAGCTTATACAATATTTTACACACTTTTTGATTTCAGTCATGGTAATGATTATGCCTTCTGTGAGCTACAAGATGGAACATTACTGAAAAGGAAGGGTTGCAAAAATGATATACTGGCCTTCAAGCACTTATTGTAATAGATTTAAAAAACAAACCTCAAACACAAAAGGGGGGGAAATGTTAAATGTAGAATAAATAATAGCTAGAATAAATAATTCCATCATTATCCCAACACATTGTTAAACAACTGAGGTAAATAAAACAAATATCAACTTACACATTTGCATTAGGACTGGGTACTGCGTTTGATATGGCTGCATACGTTATGTTATGTCAGCCTTAAGGTGTTCCTGAGTTTGAATATAAATTAAGATAGGAATGTCAGGGAACTGTAGGATATAAAGCAAAGCCTCATAGGTTAAAGCCATTATCAACATGTAAATGCAGAGAGGAAAAGCTCCACTTCTGAAAATGAAAACAAGAGAGCATTCGCCATCCCAGGAAGGAGGCAATTTCCATCCTTTTCATTTCTGTGTTTATGCAGTTTGTCCCTGTTTGTTTTACACATAACCCTCTTACCCATAAGCCTTTAATCCAATGAGCACAGTTTAGTCTTTCTCCATGGTTGGTGCAAATCTCATAACAACTCTGCTCTTAACAAACCCCACAACTTTTGCCATAAATATTATAGTTGTATTGTCAAATTATCAGCATTTGGAAATCCTCCACCATCTTCAACATGTTATGAAGATACATAGCTGTAGAGATAAACATAAAAATATGTGGCCTGAGTTAATCGGTTCAACACGATCTGCATGAGAAAGCGAACAAATTTCTTTGAAATCTCCCAGTTTTGGTCATAGTTCGGCTGCACTCCTGAAATAATCTAGTCTTTGACTATTTTAGGACCAATTTTGTCACAGGAAGGAAAAAGCTGTCCGTCTTAAATAATTTGAGAATGCATTCATGTAATTTCATAGATACACACAATTCCCTCCAGTGATGGCCTTAAGTTGTTGCTACACTTGACTCTGACACTGCATGAATAAATGGATGGTGGAATGCATCAAGGGATTCCAGAGGAGGGTGGGGGTCGGGGTTGGGGGAGTTAGAAACAAAACCAAACAGCAGACAGCAAGCACCCTTGGTCCATTTTACCTAGAATTTGACCAGCATGCTTTAATATTTTTTTTCTTTTTTTGCTGACAACTTATTAGGGTTTAATGTTATTTGCTATGCACACTGTTATCATTAATTGTGCAGTATTTGGTGTGAAGAGTTTATAAGCTTCAGGCTTTTTTAAAAATCTCCAACACATTTCATTTAAAATATTAATTGAAAGCTCTCACCTATTTCTGATGCAGACCGATAATCTAAGGTGCATGTATGACTGTTCCAGTAGTTATCTTAGCCACCAAATACCCAGCAAATAGCCATACAGATAAAAATTATTTTTACATTATAATTGTGTTTGTGGCTTATAGTTAATTACCCAACAGACAAAATGTGTAAATCCCTGTCATTAAAGGAGTACATTCCTATCATTCTATCATTACCCCACATTAGAATCGAATGTTTACAATTTCAGCCAGGCTCGGACTGGGATCAATTTTCGGCCCTGGCATTTTTCCTTCCACTCCGGCCCTCTTATTTACTATTCACAGGTAGGTGTTTCGGCCGGAGAGTAAGTGTTGGGGCTGGTATGATTTAAGGAGGGCCGGCCCTCGCACGCTGAAATTAGGACCGGCCCACTGAGCAAATGCCCGGTATCACAGATTACCAGTCCGAGCCTGCTTTCCGCTAATCAAACGTAAGGGTTAGTCTTTCATAAAATAAGTAGTCAGAATGCTTACCATGAAATGGGACTCCTGGTAGGAGCTGTGTGTATTCAAGCTGCCTCGTTGGCTGTTCCTGTGCCCCTCAGCAGTCCAGTATCCCCGAGTTCCCAGCAGAACAGCCACAACCCAAATACCAACGCTGCCCATGTTTACCTTAATAAAAATGTGAAAAGAGAAAGCCCAAAATAAACATAAACCTTGCAGCACAATGACATATACAAAATACATATTTATAAGTATCATTATCATATTAATCTGTGTTTGACCAGCATGTAATAGTGTTAAGCGGATAGTACTGAAATAGTGTGAAACAAAAGCAAAAACAGTTAAAAACGTTTGTCCAAATGCATTTTATTCGCAGCTGTAACTTTGTATCAGAGCAGCCAAGAATTTAATCTGACATAATCTGTTCGTAAGGGGATGCTTATTGACAAATGTATTTACTTAACAGTACATAATTTTGCCACACAGGAGATTAACAAGGTGAAACAAAATTCTATTACCTTGCTTTTTTTAAGCAAGTTTTTTTTAATGGTCAAGTTATTGAGAGTAAAAAGCTGAAATAAATAACAGTTAGTCCTACATGTTATATAAGCAAATTTATTTATATTATACATCATAATAATTTCACTTCTACCAGTTTCCTACTAATTGAAAAGTACAGGACATCCACAAATGTATACCTGCAAACATTAAGGCTTAATCACAAGCATTTGGACGCAATATAACCAGAGGCTTGCATGCACACAGATCGCATAATGAAGCTGTGTAAACATCAAAGACCAAACTGAAAGGTTATTTATATGTATTATGTATAAAGAATCAAAGGTTTCTCTGATGACATCAAAGAAACCTTCTAATAAGGTTAAACAATGAAGTGTTAGCATGGGAGCTTAAAATATAAACTACGGAGCTCAGCGTATCTGTTGTTACATTCATTCTCACTCATCAACATGCTTAGGAGTTCAGACATGAACCTGCACTTCGGATTCTACAACACCCCGGGGAGGAGAGAACGTGACATGACCTTAGTGGTTTGCAACAGTAAAAAAGAAAATTGAGATTCAGGGAAATGACATAAGCTAGGGCTCATTTATCGTGACATCGCTCCGACCTAAAAAGAAGTAGTGAAAAGCAGCAGACCAGCATACTCTGGCGCAACGCAACAAGCTTCCTGCTAAATTCCCAAGTTCTGTGAAGACTTCCGTCAAAGACTTTTAGATTCATGGTAATACACAGACCAGGGGTACATTATGTCTTCATGTAGCTTCTTCATTGAAAGTGTTTGCATTGCCATATCCTCTTTTCAGACACATTTTAAAAGAATTTCATTTGAAAATCAATTTAAATACAAAAATCTTCTTTGAATCGAAAATCTTTTCTTGGAATTGAATTTCTAAAGACTGAGATATTTGCATCTCTGGTGTCTACCAGGTAAAATAACTGTCTACAAAGTTAATTGGTCAATATATAGGGATAGAGGGAGTCACTGTTCAGTTTGTGACATGACAGTGGCAGATCTAGGAATCAGAATCAGAATCAAGTTTATTGCCAAGTAGGTTTGCACTTACAAGGAATTTGACTTGGTGTTGTTGATGCAGACAACACCAACAACACCAATAGCCCGGCTATTTGGGCTACAGCCCCGGATATTTTCTCAAGAGCCCCTGATCTCGCTTCTGAGCAGTTCTGAGTAAAATGTGCAGTACTGGAATTCAACAGGGAGTGACAGCATGCACAGAAAAGCAGCCTTTAGCATTTCCATGCAGAAAAAGAAGTTGTCACCACTAGCTGTTGCTAAACAGTCTTATGTCCCAGGTATGTGAAGCTATGATTGACTTCCAGACGTTCTTTGTACCGGTGTTGTATGCATTTCTGTTTCTCTCGTGTCAGGAGCGTGCATTGAAGCCAGAGAGGCGGACATGGCTGATGTGACCATTTTCACAGAGTTTCTGATCCATTTCTTGCTAAAAACAACTCATAATCATGTCACTGTTGTAACATCCAGTTTAATCAGTAGCTGTTGTTTACAAAATTGTAAAAATAAATAAATAGACAAGGTTTCTATTTCATATCTAAACATCCTGCCTGAGCAGGATGTTTAGATATGTATTTGTTTGTCTTACAAATACTGATGCTAGTAATAGCAATGATATTCTAAGGCTGTCAACTAGAGTGACAGAAATATTTACAGTATGTAATTGGTATGATATTTGCCATTGTTCCAGTCTCCAATTTGGTGATAATTCTGCCAGCCGATGATGCATAACAATGTTGATATCTGCTTGTGCGCTTGGGGGGAAATTAATTTCAGGGTCCAAAAGGATTAATTAGACAGTGTTAGGATGGGTAATATTGTTTTATTTGAGAATTATTATGTTTTTTGTGTTTTTCATTTTGTTTGTTTTTTTATATCCCATGGCTAGGCCATTTTAAAATATTAGTTTCATATGCAGTACATTTAAGTAATTACTGAAAATCTAGAGTTAGAAAAATTTTGGGACTCATTTGGATGTGGCCCTATGACAAAAGTTTTGCTTTTGTTGGTATTTCTGGCAAGATTTTACAATATAACTTGGATTCAGTTCTAACATGGAAGTTTTTTTTTTCTTTCCTACTGGATTAAGTACGACGTTCAAAACGGAATGTCTTGTGTCATAAAAAAACGGATTGTTGAGATAATTGTTGATAAATTGTTCACTCATACTTCCAAAGTTGCTGTTTGTCAATATACACTTTATTGCTGCAGTATATTCTAGGCACTCACTGCAAAATCACATAAGCCTTGTGAAGGTAAACATCACTTTGAGGAAATGTGGACATTTTTCAGCTTGCCTATTAGCCGTGGGCTAATGGGTCCTCATAGATGAGAGCTCACCCATGTGAAATTAAATACCAAATGAGATCTGCCAGTCACTGTTTCAATGTGTTGCCTGAGGCTTCAGGCATTGGCCACACACAGCTGAGTACTTATGATGACACACACACACACACACACACACACACACACACACACACGCACACACACAAAGAATTGGTTGTGTGCACTAAAAGATGTTAAACTCATAGAGGAGAAAGTATATCAGGCTGACGGTCATTTGACCAGAATATTAAAATATTTAAAGAGTTTCATAGAGACACTTTTAAAAGCAAGAAAATTATTGACAGCTCATTTCAGTGCAGCTCATCAGATCTGCTGCATTAAATCAGCAAAAAATCTTCTAAACCTTCTGCTTTAAGGGAATAAAAAGTACAGTTCGGCTCAGAGTTTCTTGAAATGGCTCATGTTCAAGTTTCAGATTTTTTTTTTCTTAAAAAAACTTTGTACTTCCTTTTATCTTGACATAAAAAGTACAGATTATTAGGCTTTTTAAGTTGGGAATTGAGTGAAAGACTATGAGCACGCTGAAGTACACTGAAACATGCTGGTACACGTTGATATACGACAAGTGTGTTGTATATCAATAAGCAGGCACAAAATTTCCTGTTGTATGCTGGCGTATGCTCATACATGGGGCATAAGTTATAAGTAACTTATCTGATCGATGACATAAGTTAAGTTGAAGTTACTTATAAGTGTTACTCATAACGTGTGCATTACTTATGCGTAACTTATTACGAACATATCTCCACTGCATTTCAACGTATTTGACATATTCCAGATAACCGCTGAAAGTGTTTCCAATATACAGCTACCGTATAATGGCGTATTGGCAGTATTTTGTTTTAAAAGATGGTTCAAAGGAGGAAACCGTCTATACTCCTCCAGACTGAGAAGGTGAGTGTGATGGATCCTCTCTGCGTTCACGCCGACGACCAACAAACTTCCTAGCAGACATGACGCTGAATCTGCTGCGACTGCAAGCCTTCTTTCTTTTTCTTTTTTCTTTTTATTTCTTTATTTTTTGGTGAACAGCAGCTAGGTTAAACCGCAATCAAAGAAATCTTTTTATGCAGGCCAGGCGCATCCGGGCCCATGCCTGTCCTCCTCAGGACTCTGGCTTGTGGCATTTCATGGACATTACTCTGCCGTGCGTTATGCATAAGTTAGGATGTCATTGTCATTGGTCATACCCTCTGGACTCATTATGAATACATTATGTTTATGGCAAAAATTTAAAAAATACATAGAAATGTCAGCGTATGTCAGCGTTTTAGGAGATTCTGGGACGTCAGGCATACGCTGTCAATATCAGCAAGGTGTGACAGGACCCTAAGGTGGCAAATCAAAGTTCAGTCCCAAGTCTCTTAAAGACAAGTGTACATAAGTTTTACAAAGACTCATCGATAATGTCCATTGAATAATTGCTAATTTGATCAAACAAGGAAAATTAGAAACAACAGTCTTCATTAATAAATTATGTTCCCTTCTACTCAAATTATCAACAATCCACTTACCAACACAGCAATAAGAACATTGTTTATGACACTCAAGTTTCAATCCTCAAGTCAGGGTCAGGTCTTTGTAATGTAAGTCTGAGGTTTGACTTAAAGTTGAACAAAGTCAACATCTCTGGCTGAGGTACAGTAAAAATCTGTCCGTACACTGCAGTTTTTAACTGAAATATTTACAGAGGAATGTATCAAGGTCATTAAGCAAGAGGTGATTTTTTTCATATGATAAGGTAAAAAATAAATTTCCATTGACTGCTTAATTTAGCTTCAAAGACCTTTTAGAGAATGTGTGGTTACTCAGGGACATACACATAAGCATATTAAAAGCCAATTACTCAAAGCAAGCTGCATAGTCTGATCTTAATCCCTCAGTAAGCTACAGAGCAGTCTTGATTAAAAAGGACTATTCATAGTTAGATATATTTTTGCTTTAATGTGAAATGCAATGAGGATTTAATTCTAAGCAGCTCAATAAAACAACTAAATCTTCTACATTTAAGAAAGAAAACAAAAAACTCATTCCTTTTCTGCCACTTAAAGCAGTCTGCTGATTAAGACAAGTATCTCACAAAAAAAGATAGAATATTTATTCCAGTTTCTACTTTTATGTGCTCTTCACATCATGTTTTTTTTTTTGTTGGTAAAAATTCAATATGAAGCACAGGATACCGGATTCTAGTCAAAGTACAGTATATTCAATTTGTCCTTTACTACAAACCTTGAGCTGTTCTTATTTCAGACCCCTAGAAACTTCTGCT